TTGAGATTCTGAAAGACTTTATAAACCAAGTCAGTATTGTTTGATTGCTCTTTAGTGGCCTGCTCTTCAGTGGCCTGTATGAAATAAATGCATGGCCTTCATTCAGTCCCTGGAGAACTTTACCAAAAACACTGCTTAAAACGGACTTAAATTACTGCTGGTGCTGTAACTGATGAGGACAAGAGTCTGAACTTTCTATGCAGTTCTCTCCTCCTTTTGTTTTACTGGGCAATCTAAGGAGGATTATACTCCTTAGGCTCTTACTTTCTCTGTGGTCTGAATGAAAAGGGGTATCCAGAGCTATGAACTATGACTCTTTTAAAATGGAGGATGGCAGCTGAATTAGTCTGCCTTGGCTCCCTTTTGTCTAATTTTGTGTATTGTCTCTCTGCAAAGGAGCTGTGGCAAACTTGTGAGTGGAAATGAAATGAGAAAACTTCAAAGCCCAAGGATGGAATTAGCAGGGGAGTTGGAAACTGAAGCCCCTGTTCCCAGGCCATTGCTTCCTCTCTGTTAACGCTGCCTGGCGCAGCTCCTGTTGTTCCATGAGTTGTTGGAGCAACTGATATCCCGCATCAATGTTGTAGCCACGTCGTTCTGTAGGTGACAATTTCCCACGTTATGCCTTCCACGTTACAGTGGAGCTGGCGTAGGTAACACGGATGACAGCAGGATAGATTTGCTTGTAATCTCTCAGTAGCGTTGCCTCCTTGATCTGGCCTGTGCTCTGGTATGATGAGAACAGGCTGCATTAATGTTACTGCTGTGACTCTCCCCAGTCCTAGTAGTTACAACTTTCCTGTTCTTGATCTGTTCCTGCCTTCTTTTGCAAACAACTGGAATTTTGATGCTTCAGGAAGAAGGGAACTGGCCCATTTAAGCTAACATTGAACTTCCTAAGCCTTTTTGGAAGGATTTGGCTTTTTGTCCCTAGTTTAGCAGAACAAGAACTCTTTTTTTAGGCCCATTCAGAATCATGATAGTTCAAGTTTTCAGCTTGCCTAAGAGAAAGAGGCGCAACACTCTTAACGTCTCAGATGTCCTCTTGATATCGCACTGATTATTTCTAAACTGAATTTGGCCAGTGGCAGCTAAAAGGTGAATTACCTACTGAAAAAATTTATTAAAACCTACCTGTCATAATGCTTACATTTCTTTTTTCTCATATCTGTATGCAAGGTTGCTTCAAAGAATCTGTATTACAGATGATAAATATTTCTTCTGCTGTTCTAGCATTTGGAAGCACTCATAATCTCTATCAGTGTGGTCTTTTTGTGTTGAAGAAAACCCCGTGCTTACGCAGGTGCCATTTCCAACCTAAACCAGCAGTGAGTCTTTTTGATGAAACGTGGTATCGTGTTTGACAGACAAACAGACTCTCATCTATCTGCATGTGAGTGCCTGGGGATGGAGGGGGAAGGGGGAAGAATATAGTCTTTTAAAGAAAAAAAGAGGGTGTGTGTATTCTGGGGAGTATCATATTCATCTAAGAGCTGGACGCATTCTTTGAGCTTGACTTTTTGCTCTGGGAGGGACTAGGGGGAACGCAGTGAGAGAGAGGGAAGAAACATTCCTGCAGGGGATTAATTTTGAGGTGACTCAAATAGACACTTTGATCCCTTCCATCTGCAGGTTGGCTTGTTTTAGCTTGTTAATATATGGATAGCAAATTCCCTCTTTCCTTTTATGTTTGGAAAATTGCTCATAGCCCACACATGGCTCTGTAATTGGGGAGAGATTGTTCATTCTTGCCTGCAGGAAGACATTTCTCTCTCTGTCTGCTGAGCTGGAGTTCCAGACTAGATAGAGAGAGCGCAAGGAAAATGTAGGTGGAAGCAGCGCTGCATAACTCTTGCTTAAGCTGTGATTCATTAAGAAATGGTCGTTGATCCACGTGTGTTTGCACTCAGAGCACCCCACAGGATGAGGAGTGTAAATTCTCTGTGAGCTGTCTCTGCCTTCCCTGTGCTTCAGTGTATAATGGTGTAGTAATTTGTAGAAGAAACTTAAGTACGTTTAGGAAACTTGTCCTCGTCAATAATCTGCAATGAACTGATGATACTCATGAGGGTGTTCATCATGTCTGTTTTAATTTTAGACAGCTCAGGTGTGAGTGATTAGTAACAATCTTGCATGTTTGATTGAAGTGATCTAAAAGTAGGTGAGGGTTTGATGATGTCAAATATTAAATAGTATGCTCTTCTTCTCAACCAAACTTATTGAAATTTGTTAAACTTGTGGTCGGTTGAACTCATAGTGCCCTGCCCCCTCTCAGGTTGCTCTTTTAAGTCCAGATTTTCTAAAAGTATCAGAATTTTCTTGGCATTGGAATTTCTCTGAATTCAGCCTGGACGCTTATTCTGCAGGTAAGGTAGCAGCGATCAGGTTACTGAGGGATTTGATTTCCTCCCGCTTCCCCCCAATCCTGAAGACGCTTTGGAAAGGTCTGTGTGTGTACATGTGTTGTTTGGGACTTTCCATGTATGTGCAGATATATCATACCACAAGTGAAAGTTTTATTTCTTGCTAAAGTTACAAAATAAGAGAATTTAATAGCCAAAGCCCTATCTATCTGTTGATCTCTTCTGGAACCAAAAGGACTGTCTTGAAATGGCATAAACTTCCAGTATTTATTTAGTGGAGTTTTCCCCAGTGTTGCTTATAAATATAAATTTAGGGATGTCTGGGGGCTTTGTTTTGCTTGGAGCGTTGCATTTGTCTCTTGGGTTATGTTAAGGTCTCCCAAAATTTTATTCATTAACGTTGTGATTGACCAAGGAGCCTGGCCACATTCCAACATGAATAATTACGGTCTCTCCTTCTCCATTTTGATTAGATGCAACATTGTTCCCTTATCTCTCTGCTTTTATAGTTGCTGGCTCCTTGTGGCTGCTCTCGGGCCTTCAGCAAAGGGCACAGGGACCCTTCTCCCCCACTGCCTGGAGGCCTTTTTAGGAGAAACTCTGGGCACCCAGATTTAATTCCACCCTCTGGCCCCCACCCCCAAAGGCAGGGTGACTGTCTTTTGCTAAGTGATGGTTGGGCCTCTGCTAACAGCAGTTACAGTATTTGAGATTAAATTCAGGTAATAGATGCTTGTTCTTTTTTGACTGAGGAATCCTACGTTTGACCTTTGTAGATGATCCAATCGTGTTTTTAAAAAAAGCAGCTACTCGGCACCATTTTACAGGAGCATTAGTGGTTGTTTGTTTTTTTTTTTTAATGCTTGAATTACTTTTTTATGTCTCTTGAACAAGAGAAGCGGCTGGCTAAGGCAAGTCGAGTGAGTGAGAAAAAATTAGATAACCCTTCACTGTGTAGTATCTGCAAAAGTGAATTTTTTAAGAACTGAGGTAGGTACTGAAACTTATTATATATGTGTCATTGTCTTTGGAGGATGATTGAGTGTTACTGCCTCTGTGGAAATATGCACTTCGAGATTTAAACAGGTCAACAGTAAAGAGAAAGTCATAGCATAGGTCATGATGCAAGTAAACACTGCTGCAGGTTATAAGCTACACAAGTTCATGTGGGCTGTAAAAGCTGGAAATTATGGCTGCTATAAATAGCATGAGTTAGACAACTTGAAGCGTAAGTCTAAATTACAGATAGTGTCTCCGTATTTGTTAGAGTTTTTTTAGAAAATTTTCACTTAGCTGATCTCATAAGGCATCTTTGTGGCCTGGGACTGGGATCACTGGAACAGAGAGTTGCAAGAATCAAATCCTGATCTCAGTGGAGGGAGGCTGGTGAAATCCCTTATATAAATTGAGAAGTCAAAGCAAACCTCCCTTTCTACATTAGAGGGCTCTTCTGTTATCACATACGGTGAAACACAGCCAAGTGCTGATAAAGAGGCACTGTAATGGAAACTCCTAAATTTTCTGCAAAATATCATTATGACAAAACATTTAATTTAGTGGCAAGGCATTTGTCTAGACATGCAACACGTGCAAACAGTAAGAACAAAAAAGGGCATCTATGTATGTTGTTGTACAGGTCTTACCAAATTAGTGTCTTGTGTGCATGTGCATGTTCTGCATGGGGAGATTCATTTGCCATACTTGTAACTCAGGCACTAAACTTGGGCATACAGAATACAGTAGCTCAGGCTACTAAACCCCAGGGTTTGGTTTGGCTTGGTTTTTAAAGATTTCATCACTTATTCTGTTCTAAGAAAAAATACGAAGCTCCACCTTCTATTGGCTTGCAAAAATGACAACATTTCTTTGTATACAAGGATCTGTTCAGGGGTTGATGTACTTACCTGCTCTATCAGTAGTAAATTATGATGGAGATGACTTTGATTTCCAGAATTCATGTTTCTGTCATGCCTAAACACAAGCTGGTGGTGGCTGCGCTCCATATATGAGTAACGAATGAGGGGCTGCATGAGGGCAGGTTGGGATCTCCTGGGCATGCGGTGAACTGTAGTCTCTTAGGTTGCCAAATAAACCTCCAATTTTTCAGTCAAAGGTGGTCAAAGAATAACTAAAGAGTTTCTAGACAGTGAAAAGATGGTAAATTAATCACAGCTAGGGAAAGGTGAAAACTACAATCAGTATAGTCCGAAGCAGAGAGTTGAACTTAGCCTGAATTGAAAACTGATTGATTTGAAAAGTTGCTTGGTATTTTGCTTTTCTTCATAATCTGCGAAAAAAGAAGCTGTTATTTGAGGTGGTGTTGAGCTGGATGCAGGACCAAATTGGAATGACTTTAGTCCTAGCAGAATCTGAACCAGAACAGGACTCAAATGTTGCCTTGATTTTCTGATAACGGGGCGACCTTGTTATTGCTTACTGTCTTTTGGATGGACAAAGGAGAAATGGGCATACTTAGAGCACACCCATGTGGCCGTGTAGGGGTTAAATACGATGTAAAAATTATTTTAAGGGAGGAAAAAGGGTAAAAAGATTTCTAATTGTAGTGAAGTATTTTTGGAATTTGCCCTGTCAGTTAGTAATATTTCACTAATTAAAGCAACCCTTTGTTTAAACCAGGCTGACAACAGTTCATCTGGAGGATTGGCTGGTGGACAAACCAAGGTATGTTCATTCCTCAGCAAATCAGCCTATTTTATATGCTGATCTTTCTGAAGTAATGCTTTTAACTTAGAAGAAGGTGATCACATCTGTGAATTCCTTGTGGTTTCTCTGCTGCTGTGGGTTGCAGGCTATAAACTATTTTATTGCCTTAAAGCCATGTGTGCAATGAAAATGAACCAATAAAAGAAGCATACAGGCACTAGGCTCTATGCCTGGAGGCGTCAGGTTTGTTTGGATGGCAAAATTAAGGGATTACAAATTTTTACTGAAGGAACGTTAGCAAGCTGGGAGGAAAGAAGTAGAGCAGGGTTCTGATGAAGCTAATATATGCATATATATTTATACACATATATATGTGACCAGCACCTATCGATATCTGTAAATAAATATATAGTAATTTGTATACGTGTGTGTATATGTACACACGTGTGTGTATACGTATGTATATGTACACATACATGTTTGTGTACATGTGTATATGTACACAGACATATATAATTCTCTGAAACATGCCAAGCCTGGAGAACATTGTATGCTGAGACTGTGGTTTGGTCAGTAAGGTTTTGCATTTTTGTGGAAGACTAGATTCTAGTTTGGAAATTTTACATTTACCCTAAAGGAGAGGAAGAGGGCTACTTTGATGTACAGTGTCAGGTTGGACAACAAAAACAGACTGAAAATTATACGGGTTTTTCTTACCATGAACTGAATTGTGTGGAGAAAGCCATATAGTACAAAAAAGCCAATATAAAATAGGTAACTGCTGACAGGCATATTATAATGCATGGTGTTGCAGTATCATTGATTGCCCTTGGTTGCCTGACTTTATTAAATGGCTTGCTGCGTGTAGAGAAGCCCAGTTTACCAGATCAAAGATCCTGAAGGAGGAAAGCTTCTGACCAGTCTGGCATTTTGAGCAAAATATGTTGAGTCATGAATACTTGCTGACTGATGCTTTTGGCTAGACCAAGACTAGACCAAGCTCTCTTTTGACAGATGACCTCTTCATCGTTAATTCATGTCATTTAAATTTTTTCATACCCGTTTTTCTCTTGACAACCTTTATAGAAAATGTATCAGTCCATAGATCTGTTTAGTCAACAGATCTGCAGGTGGAGGAGTCCAGACAGTGAACACACTTTGGATGTTTATTTTGCTTGTAACCACAATATTGACCTGTGTGATATGCTCTGTAATGATGAAGAGCATGTCAGAACAATTGGGCTTTCAAAATGAGGATGAGCCTTTGAAATGGGCACTCGTTAATCTTGGATGATGTGCTTTGCTGCAGATTCTTACAAAATTTTTTCAGGTTTTTGCAGCTATGTCACGGGATTATTATTTTTGTGAATTGCTGTCATCTAGAAATTGTTTTATTTGAAGAATCTATTTTAGGAATATTATCCTTTTCTGTGGGACAGAGGGAGCAGTGACTGCTGTGAAAACTTAAGTAAACCCTTCAGAAGTGTAAAAAAAACAAAACAAAAAAACCCAAAAAACCCTGAAATACACTAGTTGAAAAATTTTGAATGTTTAAACCAAATTGTCATTGATCTGAAAGAAGATGAGGGTGAGCAGAGGATGTTTTTCCAGCATACTGATATGAAAGTACCGTTGGGGAATTTTTATGTTTTTTTCTTTCAGGAGTTAATTATTGGGAATCTGTAAGGCTGGCCATTGGACAAGAGGCAAGAGAATCAGAGCTGAGGCACTCTGATAAAGTGATGCTGTTGAGATTGGAGAGTATTTGATGAGGAAGAGGAGAAATGGCTTGTGGAGCCTCCTGGTAGTTAAAAGGAAGAATTTAGCGTTCCAGTGGATTCTTTTACCCGTTAAAGAGGGAAGCCATTAAAGTCAAATTCAACATACGTTTTGGCAAGTTTTACTTTACTCACTGTGATAAGTGATCGTAGGTTTAGTACCAGTGAAATAACTAGGATAGTTATTTTGAAATCAAAAGTGAGTAGCTATTTTGGGCTCCACGAAGGGAGCGCCTCTGAGTTAGGGAACAATTGCATTTTATGTAATTGTTTTTCTGAGCATAATAGTTTAACCATTTGTCCTTGGGTGAGTGAGCAAGTTAATCAGCTACAGAGCAGGCCCTGTATAATAACTTTATACATGTCTATTGTATTTGATTCCCATTTCCACAAGTGCTTTAGACTACTCTTAGTTGAATGTGATCTTCATGCTTAGGCAATTTTACGTTATCTTGGTTCATTCACGTGACGGAGAAGGCGTTGAGGTTATAGGGCCTCGGGCCAGCAGAAACAAAACTTTCCTGGCTGGGTGGGAGCCTACAGCTCTCAGTTAGCAGTGCTGTCTGCTAGTCAGTGACCAGTTTTGATGTCATTTGTCAAGACAGTTATTTTCCTGTTCCTACTAGAGGTTAATGTCTGGGAGTAGGTAGTCGGAAAGGCGGAGACCATTGGACAGAGAGGGGCATAAGTTATCCCATCTCCAGGCTATAGTTGGAGTGACTTTTTAAATTGGCTGCAGATAATGAAGTGGAGGTAAGGGTAACTTAATTCAAAGCTTTTAGGTATAAAAATCTGCAATTCAGCAGAAGTAGATATAATTATGATGATTAGCTTGCTACAGACACGTTATTTACTGTAACTCAGTGTGCTTTGCTGCTGGATTTATCTCCTGTTCTCAGAGCTGCAGGCCAAACATCAAATCATAGATGAACATCGTCTCACGCATCCCATTTATTGTGAGATCCTGAGATCCTCCCTCAAATAAGGCAAAACGTAAATCCTACATAGTTGGTGCTCCCTCTCTTTCTATATGGCAAGCTGTTACTGAATCTTGTGCGAGGCCTGTCTGCTGCGATGACCCTGCCAGAGCCTAAATAGCTGCTACTCCGTAGTAGTGATTCCTGTAGCAAAGTGGGAAGGATGTTAGGCCTGTTCAGTGAGAGATGAAAGCAATATGGGGATCCAGACAGGAGCCTTAGTTTGCTGTTTGTTTCCCCCCCTCCCCCCTTAGCATTTTTTTTAGTTTTAAGTAGGTGAGCATCACAGAAGTGTTGTGGCATGAATAATATTTTGGACCAAAAGCTTTGGCATTGTTGGGTGCGTTATTTCCATGTTATTTCTATATTTTTCAGTGGAAATACAGGCCTACCCATTACTAGCCTGTGCGGTCTTCACTTCCCTTGAAACTCTCTTTTACTTACCTGTTAGGGCTTAGGTGAGCATGGACTCTGTACAATATCATCTCTGGTTAATAACAACACAGGAATATAAATATGTGCAGATGAAGACTTTCTGCTTTAGTATACTGTTATCATTTGATAAACATTTTGTGAGATATGTGCTCAGAGTGGTGTGGGTACAGCTAATCTCATAACATCAGAGGAGAATAAATAGAAGATATGCAAAATCTACAGTTGCAAGTAGAGTGTTTTTCATCAACTTGTTCCCATGGATTTGTTTGACAAGACCACACAGGAACACCAGGAAAAATAAAAAATAAATGGCTTACCACAAGTCCTCTGCTCTCCGATGAAAGTAATGCAATTACATCCTGGAAAAGGATTTTTGAGTAAACATTTCTGATTTTGGAGTGGCACTTAGATTATCCTGTAACGAATTTTGTGTAAAAGTCTACGCAATATTAGTTTGATGCCGTTTCCTGAAAAGGGTTTATTATAGCTTGATAGGAAGGATGACAGAAACTCAATAAAATAGTACCACAGAAGTGAAACCGGATGCAATGAGAGAAATGAAGCTATACCAAAAAGTGCACAATAAATATTTTTATGTTCAGCATTCAGTTTTCTCCCTGACCCAATTAGTTGTGAAATAAAAAAAAACTTATAAAGCAGAATTTTTTGTTCCTCAGGTTTAATGACCTGCAGAAAATTTGCCTATTTTAAGTTACATATATATTTAAAAGTTTTAGATTACTGATTGGAGGGGTCCTAGCTATATAAAGTAACTTTACAAAGTGAGGAAGTAGTTAAGGACATAATTCCAGTCATGCTCATGTTTTTAGTGCTGTTTTATATATGAGCTACAATCAATAATGCAGGTTGTAATATGAATGGGATTGCAAGTTTATCTAGAACTCGTTATAGACTGAATCAGCAGTGTTTGGAATACCCTTGCCTCTAGTCCCTGGGGTATCCTGGGATGGATACATGGGAGGACCAAAAGTTCAGGCCACACACGCTCGTCTGCACCCCACTCCCTGCTCCTAGACAGGTAGCTGAACATGTATTTTTAAAATAGGTTGTGTAACTGTAGTCTTTCCAAGTACAAAAAACTTGTAAACTCCCTCATTAGTACTGATTGGATGAGTAGGTCTTGATTGCCACACTGATGGCATGGGTTGAACTAAAACAGTTAAATAAGGTTATGTTTGGTAGGGAGAAGGAGAATTGAACTGAGGTTGCCGTTTTCCACCCTACTGAATCACCCCTAAAGGGAAGATTTTTTCCAGCAGACCCACAAAGCATGTTGTTTGCTACCTCTTAAAGATGTTACATAGTGGTGGTCACCACTCCTTTAGTCATGAGCAGTGTAACAGGACTGTTTTGGTCCTTTGTCTGGACCGTTTTGGTCCTTTGTCAAAACGGACACCACCAAAGATTTCTGTGGGCTTTATTTTGCTTTGAAGATAATAGTGCCAACAGGTCTCCAGGGCTTATTTTTGCTGCTGAATTTTAGAAATGGTGTAAATTCTGTGTGAATTTGGGAGGGGAAAGTGTCATATATATGCTCACCTCTTGTATGTCATGTGTGCTCCCTTGTGGAGCCTGGGAACTGGGCTGAATGAAAAGTTGGTCCGGTTCAGGGTGGTCCTTTTAATATTCTTATCTTCATTTTGCAGTGAGGCTGAATTAATTTTATTCCTTTGAGTTTGTACTAGACAAGTCAGCAATACTAGATGTAGGGCGTGTGCTTTCTATTTCGCTGAAGAACACAACAATTCCTTTCTCTCGTTGAGATCATCCTGTGTTAGGTTTTATTTTGCTAAATACGGCACTTAAT